TATCTTTTACTTCCAGATAACAACAATTCTATTAGAACTGACTACCCAAGAAAGTCAAAAAATAAAGCAAAACTATATCTCTTACTTCCAGATAACAACAATTCTATTAGAACTGACTACCCAAGGAAGGCAAAACTGAAACCTAACACTAAATTAAACATTTTTCCAGTGTAGAATTTGCATCATCAGTTCTAGGCGGTGTTGTTGCATGTCGGAATATGACCAGGTAAAGTTATGCTTAGCTGAAGATCCAATATCAATGAAATCCTTGGCTGATTTGATAACACCTACTCCACAGCTGCCAGAACCATGTCCTGTTCTTTTAGTGAACTGTGTAGTTTGACTTGGCATGCCAAAGCGCTGAAAACTTTCCTTGCCTTCCCAGAATTTGGATGCTAGATYAGAAGAGTGAGGATGTAAGCTGTGCATTACATTAAGTATGCCTTTGATGCCATCTATTACATATTGTCCAGGGACAAGTCGAAGACCATCATCAAAGCACATTGCTCTGGCCTCAATGTTTACATAGACAAGGCCCCAGTGATTTGGCATGTGTACAGGAACTAAAACCTGCTTGATGTCATAGCWCTTATGCTTGGACAGCACAGCATCAATTTTCTGACAAATGTAGTCTTCATCGTCAGATGAAAGCCATTGCCATACTTCACTTGGGAAGTACACTGTCTGAGAATCGACTCTTCCACTGATATATGACTCCTCTAAATATTGCTCGATACACAGATCTATGAGCATGTTGTCGATGTATCGTTCCATGGCTAGATATGAAAATGACTGCACATCAATGGCTTTAGGGCTCTTTTTCAAAATTGTATCTGTTGATTTACAAAACCACAGTTCTGCACCAATTCTTGCCTTGTCATTATGTGAGATTTGATTGATGCCATCTAGCCATTTTATTTCTGCACTAACATCTGCACTTGTTTTTGCCAATGAACAGTAGTCCCTCAAAACTGTCAACCCACTTTTGTCAAAATATCCAATACACCCAATTTCAACTCCAAGAACATTTTTGTTTTTCTGGTTAATTAATCTTTCTGCCTTGGATACTATGCTACTACATGGTCTCTTGTTGAGCTTTGTTGGATCTGTAGGGACAAAAGTATGGTATATTGGCTTGACATCAGACTCTCTGATACTAGTGGCAATGGCTGGAACCGCTTTTGAAGCTTGCTCTAGTCTTGACAATCTACAATTAGATGTCAAATATGGAAGACTTTGTTGAAGTCTACTCTATAATTCCATTGTTTTATTTTGTGGATGTTTGTATTAAATTTTACTTCACAGGTTCAATAAAACTTCACTTGTGTTCACTCTTAATCTACA